CGAAACAGCTGCCTATTTTTCCTCGGTTTTCAGTGATATCTAAATGATGCTGGTTCTTGGTGGAACCTACATTGAAATGAATCCGAATATATCCAAAATAAAATTTTATCCATAATGGAATATCCAAAATAAACCGAGAATCTAAATGTCTATGCATACTGATAAAAAAACTGAAATAGGATCAGCCTTGCCCTGTTACACAGTATGTTGTCCACAGCCTAGTGTGTACAAAATTGTTTATCAAATAGATAATACGATTATTTTTGTGCATTAAAGTGAGTAAGTCAAACAATTTAAACACTTTCATATCCATCATATTTCACCCAGTTAGACAGTGCTGCTTTCTTATTGCCGCACTATTACACGAATTCATTGGACTGACTGTCACAGTTTTGAAATGAGGATAACTTTTATTCTCCATGATTATTCTCATTCAATCGATCATTGAATATGCTCATCCGAAAACTGAGAATGCAGAATATGAGAACAGTGATAAGAATAGTATAGTGTTTAGGTTATTGTATTATCGCATAATTTTCGGTGTCACACATAAATCAAACTTACACAATGGAAACTTTTGACATTAGGTAATCAGATGAAAGAGAGGTGAAAATATCCTGTTACCAGGGCAAGGAAAGACTGATAACTGACTGAACGCACAAATCAGGTTTCAGGTGCTTGATGGAGATAGCTGTAGCAAACGTGAGGAGAATTGAACTCTTTTACCTATAGATAATTTTGAATAATCTTGCAACGTCCACCTCATGACCCATGTCAAGGAGATTCCTGGCGATGGCATTGTTTAAAACATTTGTTCCCTTTAGATATAAGATTTTTGGTACATGTTCAGAAAATCGTAGATACGTCCTTCTTTCTGCGAGAGCAGTTACATTGGATGAACAGAAAGAAGGGCGTATCTAAGATTTTCTGAACACGTGCCAAAAAGCTTATATCTAAAGGGAACAAATGCTTTAAACAATGCCATCGCCAGACATCTCCTTGACATGTGTCGAACCCCAGACCACATACGTGGTTAGCGAGCATTTTACTGCTGTAACACCGAAACAGAAGTCATTCTATTTACCATATTCGAAATACATATGTTGTTTATAATTGAAATGCAAATACCTAAGTTTTTATACATGTTTCTTAGATGAACACCAACTTTGTTACAATGAATATGAATTCATTGTTACACCATCAGTTTGCAAAAAAAATTTAAACTTTTATTTTAACAAACTGTTTCGTTGACCACCAAAGTAGAAATACAAATTTATCAAGCAAGGCTGTATAAAATTTTGTGCACATTTTTGTGTCATTCAGCAAGAGTGTATATGTTTTCATCAGATATGTAAACATTGTACTCAAATTTCAACAAGCCTTGTGTCAGTTATACAGCCTAAAACTTTTCTTATGGTTTTGACTAGCCTGTAGTTGGTGGCATAGTGGTTAGGACTCTTGCCGACCATGCACATGGTCCGGGTTTCAATCCCCTGCCGACGCACACCTGATATCTATGGTTGGCCTGCAAAATTTGGGCTACCGATATCCATGCTGAAAATTCCATACTTGTACTGAAAATACGGTGTGGCATCAAGCTGTAATAAAAAAACATATCTTGACCACGACTTTTGAATAATACGTTCAGATTAAATAAATAACTTCAAATTTTAGAGTATTTGCCCTAATATCTCTCAACTTCCTGCATATTATTGGTTATAGTCTGACAAGAAACCCAAGTATGTGGCTTTCTTCAATTTGTCAGTTCACTGATTGGATCAACCGTAAATCAGTTGTCTGAAATGTATTCAACAAACAACATCTATTGACTAATTAATGCACTTCATTCAATCATTTATGCATACTGCACGCTAATGTCTACATAAGAAAGAAGAAAGTCAGGTATCTTTTGAATTTCAGCTTTGATAACACGTTTGACAGCGTCGATCGAGAGGTGCTTTGGAAACTACTTCGCTACTACGGGGTGCCACCGACAATTATACATCTCATCCAACAGCAGTGCGACAATGCTTCATGCCAAGTAATCCACAACGAGAAACTTACGGAATCCTTCGAAGTGAGGACAGGAGTAAGACAAGCTGACTGCCTACTATCACCAATGATTTTCCTGAATGCAGTAGATTGCATAATGTGACAAACAGCGGGCAATGAGGAAACAGGCATAAAATGGACTCACACAAAAAAGGACTTGGAGGATCTTGACTTCGCCGATGATATATGTCGGA